CAAGAGTCCTTGAGTAATAGGCCACAGGGACTTGTGTCTCATCAGCCTTCAGATGACAAAATACAGCTCCCACCCCATAAGGAGATGCATCGCATGCGATGCATACAGGCAATTGCTATTGAAATGTGCTAAAACAGCATTTGAAGTGAGGAAGGCCTTAACCTCATTGAAACTCCTATCATGGACTTTAGTCCACTCCATGGAGCCTGCTTGTCTAAGAGCCTATGTAACGGCTCTGCCACTGCAGCCTTATGTGGGAGAAATGCATGATAAAAATTTAAAAGCCCCAAGAAGGCTTGCAGCTCACTCTTGGACTTGAATAGCTTGTAGTTTAGCTTCAGCAGGGTGAATGCCTTGGGCATCAATCCTGAAACCTAAGAAGTCAGTGAAAATGACTCCTATCTTGCATTTATCCTTCTTTAGCTTAAGGCCTGTTTTTCGAAAATGAAGCAAGACAGCCCTTAACCTTTCTGTTAAATTTTGAGATGACTCCCCAGTGATGAGGAATAGGGACAGACCCCAGGAATACCTCGAAGTGTGCTCTCCATGACACTTTGGAATATGCCAGGGGCTACATTTACCCCAAATTGCATAATCTGGGCCTCTGCAGCTGCCTCATCAACAGGTAGCTGTTGATAAGCCTGTGCCAGGTCAAGCTTTGCAAAAATGCACCTTCCCTCGAGGGAGGCCAGGATGTGGCTTACAACAGGGACTGGATAAGCGTACTGTTGCAACGCCTTATTCAGTGTACACTTGTAGTCTGCACATATATGTATTTCCCCATTAGCCTTTAGAGGCGTTACTATGGGGGTTTCCCATGGACTAGAATCCACAGGTTCTAAAATACCTTGTTGGAGCAATTTGTCCAGCTCAGCATCTATTTTACCTTTGAGGGCAAAAGGTACCCTCCTAGGCTTGACCCCGATGGGTGTGATAGTTGGTCTAACCGTAGCACAATGGGGGGCCCCTTGTAGGATCCTAGCTCTGAACTAAACACATCTGCAAACTCCTTGCAGACTTCTGCCAGGCTCAATGTTTGCAAATGGTGCAGCCCAGTTACCTGGATTCCCAGAGCCTCGAACCAATCAAGTCCAATAAGACTCGTACATTCACCCCCAACTACCACCACATCTAGGGGACCTTCAAAATCCTTATGCTGTACTCTTAACACATACCACAGAATTCTGAAAATCAGTGAGTATTAGATTCGATGGCCTGAGCTTAACTCGAAGGCCACTGCTGCTACATATCCTTTTGAATGTGTTTGTAAGGACCCACCCCACTTTGCATCTTAAGAAGACAGAACTCTTGGATTAGTTCTTCCAACAGGCATGCTTTATTAAGAGAAAATGGTTGCAGGTGTTCTAAACAGGAGTTGGGGTCCAAGCTCTCCCCTTTAAGGTTTTAAGGGATTCCCCAGTAGCCCCACCCAATCACCCTCTTCTTCCAGCGACAGTCTCAGGCATTACACTCCCACTCCCTTTTCCTTACTGCCGGCTGATGGAGACTTCAGAGAGGAGTACATGAAAGGTAATAGCCCCATTGTTATGGTTAGTCCTTTTGATGATATCCACATCCAGTCCCTTTGAAGTGTACTGAAGGAAGTGAGGGCCATAAAGCCCCTTTGTTCACTCCCTTCCCTTCATCGTATGACAGAATCCAGAGAAGGCAGGAATGGGGTTTTCTATAGTTGATAACTAGAGATGAAATATAATTGGATTCTGACAGTGTTAATTGAAATAATTGAGAGAGTGGACCCAGTGTCCAACTCCATTGATAAGGGAACCCCTTGCAACCTTACGTTAGTGGAAAGTTTCTTCTTAAGGGGCTTGTGTGTCCCTGTCCTCAGAATACTCCTGCGCGATGTGCAGAAACTCATCCTAGGTTGGCTGGAGACCCTGGTACCTTTCAGAAGCAATTCTTCACGAGGTTGGACTTTCTGGCGACCCAAACAGACGGATGTGATGTGGCCTTGCCTGCCACACACCCTGAAAATGGCGGAGCAGAACCTGCAGTCAGCTCGCTTGTGGCGTCCTCCACCCGAAGCATTGAAGGGATGCTGGGGCCTTGTCCGGATGTCCCTTCTGCCTCCTTTCAGTTGGCTGGTGAAGTCTGTCCACCTCCTCTTCAGGATCCGCTTCTGATCCTTCTTGAGCATCCTCTTGATGGACGGTAGCTGTGTCTGGAGGGTTTCTGGTGAGCTACAAGGCCTTCACAGCCCTGCCTGCTGCTTCCTCAGCTGCCACGTAGCGCGTCTTGGAAGGAGACATCTTCTTTTGCAAAAATCTTCTGTTGTAAGTCTCTGCTCCTCAAACTGCATACGAAGCAATCTTGCAGCCTCTCTTCCAGATCCTTGAACTCACAAGGCCTGGCCACTTGCCTTAAGGCAGCCATAAAGTCCGCAGCAGATTCACCTGGCCTCTGGTCTCTCTGCTCAAATGCGTGCCTCCAACCAGTGATGGATAACTTTGGCTGGAAGTGCTCCTTCAACATCTTTTTCAAGTCAGTATATGTTACTGACTCTAGAGGTGCAGGGGCCACCAGATTTTCTGCAATGTCAATAGCTTCTTGTCTACAGGCACACAAAAGAGTTGCTGCCTTCAGGCCATCTTCTCTTATCTGATTTACTCTGAAGTAGTTCTCCACCCATGCTACCTAAGAATTCCATCTCTCTGGGTGAGAGACATCGAAATCAGACAAACAGCCAATCTTCGACATTGTAAACTTTACGATCTTCACCAATTGCTTCCTCTGCAAGCTGTTGTATGGGAAAGGGTCCTTTAGCTGAGCTCACCCCCAGCAATGCTGTACTGGCAGGCTGAGATGCTGATTCAGATGCCATTTTTCCCTTCGTCAGACTTCCTGGGTGAGTCCTTAAATCTTTTGTTTCAGCTTGCAAAGGATCCCACCTTCGTCCCCAGTGTTGAATCCTTAGTTCGCATGCGAATGATGAAGACACATGGTAACAGTTAACTACTCTTTATTCTCCTTCTCCAAGAACCGAGCAAAAAGCAAAAGGCACGCAGGCCTTTTTATATGGCCAGAAACCCGGATAGTGTCAACCAATAGGAACAGAGCGTTTTCGCGCCTTGCGCATGTGCACAAGGCTGTTGCTGCTCTACCTGAACCCGGGCAGCTTTTGGAATGCCCAGGGCCAATGCAACGTCCCGAGCCTGCTTTTGTTGTGGATTTAATCACACTATGAGTCTTATTTCACTTCCTGCTACTTTTTTATGTTATACTTTATAGTCATACTTTTAGTTACAGAAACAAAAAGATCTGATACTGTATTCTGTCAAAGTTGCTAACATTGGATGTTCTTACTCTGACAAAATATGCAGAACTGTGTGGTATTTTTCGAGTTAACTCAGAAGACGCTGGGAGGGGAGAAGGAAGAATGTATGAGTTGCAAACAGAAGAGAACCTTTGCCCTTCAAACTAATTGGAGAACGTGAATCATGAAAGCAAAATAAGGGAGGGAAAATGGTAGCAAAAATAACTGCTGGGGGTGTGTGGAGATTTCAGATCTTAGCATCCCCTCTTCATGCCATGCCGACATTTTGTCACATGAATAAAAATACTTTTTAGGAAAAACAATGCCTGGAAGTTCTTTGAAGTGTTTCATTAGTCGGAACCTTGACATTTGGGAACCTGAAAATATTATAGAAAATTTTATACAGATGCAATAAATAAATGAATACATACATACGAGGTAATCTTGCTATATACAAATGTCATGTGAATGTTCTACACATTTGTAAAACATTCTTCTGACACCCGGAAATCTACAGATTTTATCATTGGTAGCCACTAGGGCAGTGGTTCTCAACCTTTTTAATGCCGCGACCCCCAACCAGTCGTAAGTTGAGGATACTCAACTGGTGCAGCACCATTTGCAGAATGGGACTTTTGGCGGGCTCAGCAGGGCAGAGACAGCCTGGACAATTCCTATTGGCTTTTGAAAGCCAATAGAATTAGACTCTATTCAAGAGAGTCTATTCTATTGGCTTTCGAAAGCCAATAGAATAAGAGGGAGTAGCACAGCTAAGGAAAAGGGGGAAAAAATGACTTGGGAAACTATTTGGGTGAGAAATGTTAAATTTACACAAGCCCAGAATTTAAGGGAGAATTTTTATAAAATGTTTTATAGATGGCACCTTGATCCACAAAAAATGTCTCGCATGTATCCTGACTTACAGCCTAAATGTTGGAGATGCGGATGTTTGGATGCTACTTATTATCATAGTTGGTGGTCGTGTAAAAATATAAAAGCCTTTTGAATTAAGATATGGTGGAATATTCAAAGAATTTTTAGAAGGAGGGTAAAATTTACCCCACAATTGTTTTTGTTAGGTATCGTTATTGATTGTGATACTAAGGAGACTATATTGATGTTAAATTTAATTACAGCCGCAAGGTTGTTAATAGGGCAATATTGGAAGAAGGAATCTTTGCCTACTTTGCAAGAATGGTTTCTTAAAGTTTCTTATTTGGCGGAAATGGCAAAGATTTCGGCTTTTTTGAAGGATCAATCGCAAGAGAAGTATGTTGTGGTATGGAAAAAATGGATAGATTTTATACAATATAAGTTAGATATAAAAAATATTATCTAGTTTTTTAACAATTTATATTCAAAATGGAATATTTTGGGGTTTTTTTGTTTGTTTTGTTCTTCTTTTTTCCCTTTTTTCATTCTTTTCCTTTTTAAACATTTATCTATTGTATTCATGTTTTTATATATATATATATATTATTGTTAATCATTTTATAATTTTTCTAATTAATGTATTTAGATTTTTAATTAATGTTAGATTTATTTATGGTTTATATTTTTTTTTAAGATTTTTTGATGAAATTCTAATTAAGCCTATATCCAACTCTGGGAAGGTCGGGGGAGGGAATGGGAGGGTTGGGGAGGTTGGGGGGAAGATTGTTTTGTTTTTGTAAAATGTCAAAATTTAATAAAAATTATCTTTGAAAAAAAAAGAAAAGGGGGAAAAAATGGCGGACTGCGTTGTTTGGTGACCCCCGTGAAATGGTCGTTCGACCCCAAATGGGGTCCCGACCCACAGGTTGAGAACCACTGCACTAGGGCCATGAGTAATAGGAACCTTAGCCCAACACAATAGCATTTGCTCCAGATGGGAGAATGGCTATTCTGAAATGTTTTTAAACCTCAAGATAAGAATAACAATAAAAGGTGCATAACAATAATGTATTTAATAATATAACATTTAATAATAAACAGTACTCTAGATAAGTAAGATTAGTCTTCTTCATCTTCCTCTCCCTCTTCTGAACTTCTATAGATACAAAAGGAATAAAAGATGATGTTACAATGTGCTTTTAAAACTACACAGTCACTTTTACAAGAAAGAGAAAGGTTAGAAAGAGAAGCAAAAGGAAGACTTATAGAGACAAGACGTATAAAACAAAATAAAAACAAAAAAATAGATCAAGTTAAAAATGGGAGACGTAATTAAGCTCTTTTCTATAAATATTAATGGATTAAATATATCAAGAAAAAGAGTTTAGACATTTAACAATTTAAGGAAATTGGATGTAGATGTGATGTATCTTTAGGAAGTTTATATAAAATAGGATTATAGAAAATTACTAGAGAAAGTAAAATTTAGAAACATTATACACAATATTAGCATAAAACAAGAAAGGAGGAATTATTATATATGTCAAAGAAAAATAAAATTAAATAAATATACTTGAATGAAAAGGGGTGAATTTTAATGTTGGAAATAGTATTAGAGTAAAAACAGTATATGCACTAAATAATATGAGAATATTTGTATGATCACCATGCTTAGATGGAATTCCGGTCGAGTCTTATAAAAAATATGAGTGTTACTACAATGAATAATGTTGGATTCCTAGTAAGTAGTAGAATACGAAAGAAGGAAAATGTAAATAAGAAACAATGGGGCAATAAGGACAAATATTTCAAAGAAGAAAGAGGGGGGAAATGTAAAGAATAGAAGAGTACTGTTACAAACTGCTGTTAACAAAAAAGGATATATTACGTGTGTATGTGTGTAATGTTTGATGTGTTTTGTTTTGTTTTGTTGGTCTAAAATAATAATAAATAAATAAAAAACCACACAGTCTTCTAATCAGGCTGTTCAACCTTTGTCAAGCTATTATATTATAATAGATTGAGTATCCTTATTCTCAGCTGCTTCTAAAGTAATATCCATATATTGAAGTGCTGGGTTTTTTTTCTGAGAAGAGTAAGAATTTCAGTATTTCAGAGCTGTTGAATTTCTGCCATGCGGAGTAGTTACCATGCAGAAGAGAGCAACTGTACATAGGAACGATCAAAGGCCTGTCACAATTCTGCTTCTTGATAACTCCTGCTTGGCTTTTCCAACTCCCTAAGCAGTTAAAGGTAGGAAGATAATAGAAAATCACTACTCCTTTTTTGGATTTCATGTCAGAGCCAATGACTCTGCCAAAAAGAGCTTGAAAAGAATATTGAGGGGTTATGAAAAACTAGGCAGGATGGCAAGTGTTTGGAGTGCAAGGGGTGTTTCCAACCATATTTCCAACAGAAAATAGAATGGACATGTTGCTGTTAGCCCTCTGCTAAGAAACGAAGAGGGGCTCAGTAAGCATCCATAGAATCTTCTCAAAACAGCTACTTTTGGTCTGGCAGCATCACTTTCTATCTATGATAGGGATAGGGAGAGAGAGAAGTGAGGCCCTAAGGTGAGCAGCAAAACAAGCTTCCAGAGGCCTAGGGCTGGCCTTCCAACAAGATTGCAAGATACTAGCACTAGACCTCCCCATGGCCTTCCCCACCCTGAGGTAGCTTATGTGCATTTAACAAGCTGCATGTTTGCCCACACATTAAATTAGTGAATGCTTGGGCAAAAGGAGGGACTGATCTCATTAGATATATGAGATTCACTCCCACAAATTCTTGAGTTTTAAATGGAATGGGCAGGCTCCATTACATTCGTAACTTGTGGACTACCTGTATATATTTTAACATATGATCCCCTGAAATGAATATATTAAGAAAATCTGGAATGTCAGGTTTTCATGTGCAAATTCTTATACTCCCTTCCTGAATTGCAGTGTTGCTGGGCTAGATTTTTCAGAAAGGTCTTATGTTTTTTTCTGAGAAGATCTAGATCTGACAAATATAGGAGAACCACCTAAAATCATTGAAGCTTGAAGCTAATTTTTCATATCCACTAAATGTACTTTTGCTTGGTACATCCTGTATTCTAGCAAAGAAGCCACAGAAAGAAAATCTTCTAAGAAAAAAAAAACCTCCATTCCTCTTTATATTTTTATCCATTTTAATTATACAGTGCTCTAGCAGAGGGCTTTATTAATTTACCAAGCACTTCCATTTCTAAAAAGAGCCATTTGTCCATAGGCTTACTGTGAGTTTTCTGAATGTTCTTCAAAGAGTAAATATGGGATCCAATTTAAACACAAATGCAAAAGCAAAACTTGAAAAAGCCCCCAGTCTGTTAGATTCAGAGAGAAAGAAAAATGATAGGAAATTACATCCACGTGTATGCAACAGAAATATACAAAAAGAGGATCTGCTGCTTTTTGCAAAAGATGTTTGATACTCCAGAACTGGAAAAGATAAAAATTGCCTTTAAATAGTAGAACTGAAAATCTTTTGAAATAAAACTGTTGGAGTAAAGCATAAAAAGAATCACCTTCAACTAAGATAAATACAGATATTATGAAGGAAGTATGGAACTTTCTCCATCCACAACCCCTACATGAACTGAATTATAGTTCCCATCATTCTGGTCCTTAACCGAGGACATTAAGAGCTATGATCTAACTTCAAGAAAACAAAAATATTATCTTAGTTCCTTAATTTCTGTCACAAACTTTAAAGCCATCCATTTGATGTGGTCAAAAATGTTGTCTGCTCTTTCCTAAATTGCTAATCTTTTACTACAAAGGTGGCTTTTGCACTTTTCTAGTTTTTTCCCTTCCTTTTCCTATCTCCTACTAGAACTTCTTTCCACTCTTGCACAATGAAATAAACAGCTTATGAGATATTTTACACATTTGGTATCCTATAAATGTGTATCAGCAGATGCATTCTGAACCACTTCAAAAATTCTTAAATAGAAATAATTCTGATTTGCACACTGCAGCTACTTACGTTTTCTTTGAAGTGCCTTCTTCTTCTGTTTCTGAAGTCTGATAAAAAATTAAAAGCAGAATTTAAGCATTGCTCTGACAGCAGCTGAATATTTCTTCATTCCCTGGCAAGCTTGGCCAAGTCATTTATTTGTTTATTTATTTGATATAATTGCCATCTGTCTTGTTTCAAAGCGATCCTGGGATACTTACAGCATTGAAAGCATTAAAACCATTTAAGATAAATATTTCTAAGATGATAAAAATGGTTATAATCAAACACAAAGTTAATAAAGGAAAGATAACTAAAAGATAAAAGTCGGGAAGAGAAGGAGCAGGATGTACAGTGGGAGAGATATGGGGCTCTCCAGCATGATTGGATGGAGAACCCATGGATGGGTTGTCTTAATCTATCTGCTCCAATTAGACTAAGTCTGAAATTTAGTACCGCCCCCTCTGTGCCAACTGCACCCCAGTTTTAGACTTAGTCTCTTTGCTCTAAGACGCGTTTTTTCTTCGCTCCTGGAGCAGAAGACTGTGTATTTCCCCTTTTTCTTATTCTGTTAGCCTAGCTCTAACTACTCATTTTTCATTATTTAATTGATTTCATTAATTAATTTCATAATATAAAGAAGATTTCCAGCGAGTGGAATCATCCTCAGCTGACTGCCTGGCCGGGCTGACAGGCTGGGCATCCATAGACCCATTTTTTTCCTCTCCTCTTCTGAGAGCTTCCTTGAATTGCTGCTAACAGAGCCAAGCTCTAGTCTGACTTTTACAAGTGACTGCAGCTCTGGAAGCTCCGAAACTTCACCGAGGCCTGAAGGCCTTATCGGGCCTAGGCCAATCTCAGCGCCTCCCAGCTGACCATCCAAACACCCTCCGCTGCGTTAGGAGCCCAGGCGATTCTCTGGAACGAGGGCTCATCGCAGCTTAGGCCTCAGGCCTCACAGGCCTTCCTTCCAACGGCCGTTTTTGGCACGCAGAGCTGCGGCCGCCATTTTGAATCACCTCCCGGTGGCTATTTTGAGACTTACAGAGGCCCAGACTGCCTGCAGGAACATTCCAGAAGGCAGTTTCTGACAATTTGAGGCAGAGGCCTCTAAAATTGACGAACCTTTCACAGGCAGATCGGATTGGGGAGGGCAAGCTCGTTCCAGAAGGACGCACTGCCTACCAACCCCCCATTGCCCACCCCCCTCACCGGGCCGGATCATCTCTGCTGGGCTCCCTTAGTAAGTTACAACACTGAGGGGGGCATTTTTGCTGAGGTTGAGCCCAAAGCAGATTCATCATGGCAGAAAAGTCTACCAACGAGCCGGCCAAGAGGAAACATACTACTGAGGCAAGTGGAAAGAATAATTCCAAGTGAGCCAAGTCAAGCAGGGAAACCACTAATCCACAGAGGGCAGCCTCCCCAGGTCAGACAGACACAACGGGAAGGTCCATTTTTGAACCCCTTTCCTCACATTGTGCCTCAGCCCCAGGGGCCTGGTCTCCCCCAGGGGAATTTCCCAACCAGAACCAGCTGCAAGAGCAGCTCCAGGGACAGGCTTGACTAGCCAGGATACCCTTAATTTGGGCCCTCAGGCCACATTCATCCCCACTGCAGCAGGGCTTCGCCCTCCTGAGAACCAGACTCTAAATCCGGACTACCTTCAGTCCAGGATAGCCCAGACTGTGGCTCAATTCATGGCTTCCAATGCCCAACAGCCACCCCCACAATCCATGTATCATTCCCAATCTCCAGATATCATGGATGAACCTTCATCAGATCTAGAATCAACAGGGGCTGAACCATTGGGCCTGATTATGTCAGAGGACGAAGGTATCACTTCATCTAACCCCACCCCTCCTGTCGGTCTCTTTGACCATTCACTTTTTAATTCCCTGCTAATCAAGGCCTGCACAACTGCAAACCTCCCTCAAGAGCAGGAGACCCCACCTACAACATCCAAGGGTCCCCACGCCATAGGGGAGGAGCCACAGCAGAGATGGTCCTTCTCCTGGACTCTGCTAGCCCAAATTCCTTGGCTGGCGGGGCCTGCAGCTTGTCTCCTCTGCTGGCTGGGTGGGGTCGGCTAGCCACAATGGGGTGAGATTGTTCCTCAAGTAAACTGGATCTATGCCATGCAGGTCTTTAAGGGTAATAACTAACACTCTGAATTGCATCCGCAAGTAAACCAGCAACCAGTGCAGCTCACAGAGCAGTGATATAACATGGGTCTCTCTAGAGGCCCCAAGAACTGCATGGGTTGCAGTAGCCCTTACATCAGTTGATGCTTGCATGTAAGCTTGCTTTTTCTATGGATTCTCCATGCACTGGATCTATCATTTCAGTCCTTTCATTTCAAATACTACTGCCTTTAGACTAGCTTTTCTTTGTCTCTCCAACAGCAGCCATTGAGGATTTTATGAACGGGACATCAGCAAAAAGATGCTCTTTAATCTCACGGTGTGGTCTCTTCTGTTGGGCTTGGAGGAAAGTCAACTTCACATTTAAGCCTTCTTATCCAAGCCCCAGTCAAGTTGGAACATACTTTGCAGGTAAATGAATTTGTGGCAGAAGAGGACAATCCTCTTTTGTGCACAGCATCAAAAGGCACTTCTCCCATTCTCCATTGTGCCAGCAAGCAAAGAAATTTTGTAGTGTCATTAACTCAATTTCCTTACAGCTAAAGAGAGTGAGAGTGAGAGGATTTTTGCATCAGCTAGGAACTCTTATTTGGGTTAGTGAAATAGGACTGTCTGAAAAAAAATGCAGATTTTTGCCTTATATTTTCAACCAGATTAGCAAGTGCTAGTACTAGGAGGCATCCTCTGCTTCTTAGTTCTGCTTCCCCCAATAAGAATTTAACTCAGAATGCTCTTAGAATCTGAAATATGTTCAGCTACTAAAAATGAACCCTTTATTTTTTTGCATTTTACACTACTACAGTACAAGACAAATTAGGATATTAACATTCTGTAGGCAGTGTATTTTATATTTAGTTTGTATATGCAAAGAGTTTTGGGTGTGTAGTTAAAGATAGAATATAATAGAGCTGGAAGGGACCTTGGTGGTCTTCTAGTCCAGCCCCCTGCTCAAGCAGCAGAACCTATATTATCTCAGACAAAAAAACCTCTTAAAAAACCTCCAGTGATAGAGCACCCATGATTTCTGAAGGCAAGCTGTTTCATTGGTTAATTGTCCTCACTGTTAAGAAGTTTCTCCTTAATTCCAGGTTGCTTCTCTCTTTGATCAGTTTCCAGCCATTGTTTCTTGTCCTGCCCTCTGATGCTTTGGAGAATAAATTGACCCCCTCTTCTTTATGGCAGTCCCTCAAATACTGGAATACTGCTATTATGTCACCCCTATTACTTCCTTTTTTTAGCCAAACCGAAATCCTGCAGCCATTCTTCATATATTTTAATCTCTAGACCTTTGTTCATTTTAGTTGCTCTTCTCTGAATTTTTTCCAAAGTTTCAACATCTTTTTTGTAGTATGGTGACCAAAATTGATTGCAGTATTCCAGGTGTGGTCTTACTAGGGTTTTATAATGTGGTACTAATACTTTGCGTAATCTTGATTCTATGCCTCTGTTTATATAACCCAGGATTGTGTTAGCTTTTTTGGCTGCAGCTGCATACTGCTGGCTCATATTCAAGTGATCATCCACTAGGACTCCAAGGCCCCTCTCACAGTTACTGTTTTTGAGCTAGGTCTTGCCTAATCTTAATTTTGGAAAGATATTGTGCAATGGTTCTGAGATAACATCTGCCAGCTCCTTCAGAACTCTGGGATGCAATCTGTTGGGTCCCAGTGATTTATATTCTTTGAGGTCAGATAGGTGTTCTCTAACCATTTTCTTGCTTATTTTAATTTTTATTTTTAGATCGTCTTTTACAGTAGTTTTTTTGGTATGTTGGGCTATAATTTCTTTTTGTTAATTTTAATAACAATGAAACTGCAGTAGTAATAGTTTATATTAGATGTTGTTTTAAAGAAATGCTACTCACTCTGTCTTCGGAGGAGTTTCGCTGATGGGAGTCTCTTTTTCAGATCTGACAAAGAACAGACAAACATTTTAGCAGAACAGAAGTTAAAAAGAACTCTGGTGCAGTTAAGATTGTCTTCTTCCAAGGAAATATCTTGGAAGAAAAAAGTTCTAAGTTAAAGAACAGCCTTGACAGACTGTACTATTCACTCAGTGTTTGGAAAAATTTCACTCATGGGAGACTCTTTTTCAGACCTGACAAAGAGCAGAAAGACATTTTAACAGAGCAGAAGTTAAAAAGAAGTCTGCTGCAGCTAAGCTTGTCTCCTTTCCAGGATGGGAAGGATGATGGCTCATTTGTTTTCAAATTTCTTAAAATGGAAGGAAGTTTTAACCTAGTTTTTCTCAATCTCAGCATCTTTAAGATATTAATCTTAAGCATGGCTGGCTAGGAAATTCTGGGAGTTGAAACCCAGACATCTTAAAGGCCCCGTGACTGAGAAATCCTGCTAAAGACAAATTGTCCTCTGGAACATGGCTACCATGAGCTCCAATCTATTGCAGAATTTTTTTTTCTCCTGGACAAATTAAACAAAATATTGCTCCATCCCAATTTGCTTGCCTTTAGATACTGCTAGCAATTTCGAGAGACCTCTCTTTGTCTAGCAACTATGAAGCACAACCATTTTATATAAATATGATTTATAAATTCAATAGCAATTGCACAAAAACTTACATACAATACTTTACAACTCTCTCTAAGTGGTTTATAGAGTCAATATATTCCCCCAACAATCTGAGTCCTCATTTTACCAACATCGGCATGATGAAGGCTGAGTCAATCTTGAGACAGGCTCAAGTCAGGCAGTAAGCAGTGAGTTAGCCTGCAATACTACATTCTAACCACTGCGCCACTGTGGGCTCTTTCATAAATTCAATGAATTAGAATCTAAGGGTGGATCAACCTTCAATTAAATAAATAAGATCCCACATGTATAACTCTACAGCTACTCACAATTTCTTTGAGCTGGCCTTTTTAATAGGCTCCGGAGCTGGAGCTGGAGCTGGAGCCGGAGCCGGAGCTGGAGCCGGAGCTGGAGGTTCAGATGGAGCCTTGGCTGGAGGTTCAGCAGCTGCTGGTGCTGGTGGTGGCATTAGCTCCCTAGGAAGACAAAATAGAAACAGAGATTAATCCAAGTTTAAATGGGTTAATAAATATCAAAGTTGTGATCTTTTGTTTCCTTGTGTGAACCCAGCATTTCACATTTTCTCTAAAGGAAGCAACAATCGTATAGTTGCTAGTTCGCTTTGTTGCAAAACCCAGGTGTTGCCTGCATATTAGAGAATGCTTGTGTGTACCCAGGGCCTTATCTTCATTGCATCTCAAGTCCAACTTTCCCAAAATGCCTAAGCAGACTCTTGATTCTTTTTTTCAAGCTTTTAATTCTTATATACATTTACCGTAAATGCCGGCGTATAAGATGACTTCCGCGAACGCTGAAATCGGCGCCAAAGACAGGGGTTGTCTTATACGCCGAGTCGTCTTATACGCCGGAAATACTGGTAGTTTCCGGCGTATAAGACAACGTTCTAGGAATGCGGCCCGGCTATAAAGACGGAGGTCATCTTATACGCCAGGGCGCCTTGTACGCCGGCATTTACGGTATTTCTTTTATGTATTCTCATTGCTTCAGCTTGTTAATTCATAGCTGAAAGTAGGAATTAAAGGATAACTGGGTTAAACTGTTGGACCAGGTGTGGGGAGACCCAAGTTCAAATCTCCACAAATGTCATGGAGTCCTCTGATTTGGAGCCAGTCACTTCCTGGGATAAACTTATCTCACAGGATTGTTGCTGTTGGGATAAAATGAGGGGGATTCTCCTATATGCTACCTTGAGTTCACAGAAAAAATTGGTAAAACACATGTCTAACAAATAAAAAGAAAAACAAATATTTCTCTAGCATTGGTACCAGAAGCTGATTAGTTGAAAAATAGTCATGTCTCTTCTATATTTCGAGAGACTGTTAACAATTCTAAAGGAGAAGATGCAATAAAATAAACTAATTTTGGCCCATATGAAATCTGTATTTGTCACTGAACAAAATAGGGTCTTTTTTGTTTTGTTTTATTGAAAAGTTTTATACAAGTTTTAAACAATATCCCCCCTAAAATAACCCCCTCCCTTCCTCCCTCCCCCCCTCACTTCCCAGAGCTGGTTACAGGGTTACAAATAAACAAGCAAATTCTAAATAAACTTATCCAACTATACAAATAATAAAATCAATAATATACTTTAACTCAAATACAAAACAGGAAAGAAAAAAATTAACAATATAAGCATTTCCAAATTAAAAACTGTAAATAATTCATAATCTGCATAATGCATTTTAAACCCATATCATAACCCATATTTACTCTACATATAATTTATCCATCTCCACCTCGCTGAGGTGTATATTTTTTTTAAACAACCATTCGTCCATAATAAACACAAAATTTTCCCTCCAATATAACCTAACCAACAAACTTACGTTGGATAAAATTGGCTCTTTCCCAAAAAAAAGAGAAAGTGAAAATAATTCTTTAAAATTAAAGTCCAAATAAATCTAAAAAGTAAAGATTCCCCGATCAGCTTTGTCCGCTTTTTTTAAAAATAACTCATCAGTTCTCTTTAATCGCAGAGGTGGGAGCGGTGTCTTGCTTTGTCCCGAATGACAAGGAACAAAGACAGCTGAGAAGCGGAGATTCCCTGAACTCCGTGGGAGCACTCTTTTCGCCCCCCCAAAAAACTTTTTGGGGGGTTTCAGAGGCTCTACCACTATTCAGGGTAAAACTCCCCTCCTTCCTTTAGCCCAGGAAGGAGGTTTTAAACCGTGGAACAGCTGATATCTGCTGTCCTCGGCGGTTTTAACGCTATCTCAGAAGGACGGCTAAAAAAATAGCCGCCATTCACATCGCTACACCACCGGAAGTCGGATTTCATTATTAACAAACTAAAAACCATGGCCTTTTTTGTCTAGCTTAAATCTTTTCTTCATTTGTTAATATGTAAACCATTCTTCATTTGTTAATATGTAAATTCTTCTCTAGACTTGAGGATGGGGTCTCCAGAATTGAAAGATACCATTTTACCATACATCCACTAGTCCAGCTTCACCACCATTTTTTTTTTTAAAAAAAGTTTCTTGGGGGACACCCATAGGAGCAATTTTGTAAAAACCTTGTTTTATATTTATTCCAAACTCTTAATATGGCGCGTCTAATAAAATGATTATTAAAATCAACATTAAGGTTTGAATGACATGAGTATTAATGGTATGATAAAGTCAAATATAAAGGATTTCTATTGCAGTTCCTTTAGGACTGATGCTGAACCTGAAAGCTTCTACTCGTTAAAGGCACATCTGTTCACACATCATATTGATGTTCACTCCTGGAACTGGTTGGACTTGTCCCTGCGGTTTTCTTGGAAAGATTTCAGAAGTGGTTTGCCATTCCCTCCTTCCCAGAGAGTGACTGATCCAAGGTCACCCAATTGGCATAAGGTGAGACTAGAACTCACCATCTCCTGGTTTCTCTCCTGGTGCCTAAAACACGGCATCAAACTGGATCTCTATCAATTGTAGCTGTTTCTAAAATGTTAATTTAATTTTATCCTCACTTTTGGATTGCTAAAATATGAGGAAAATATAGTTACATTTGAAAAATAAAACACTGTATTGCAGGTCATAAGCCCCTATATACATAGTATAAAATACCTAATATATTCAAAATTTAAAACATTCAATGAAGTACCATAACTGTTCTTACAATACCTTTAACTCTGCTCAGTTAATTCAATTATGTTGGAAGGAACTCTTCTAATAATTTTATTTCAACAAAAATGCAGAAGAATTGCTGTGGTGCTTGAAATTTTAAACAGGTAAACAATATTAGTAAAGTAATCTCCCTTTAATTCTTTGTCAGTAAATATAAATTTAACACACAAATATTAGTAACTGTTTTGTAGCACATGTAGTTACTTACAGTTTTTCCACAGGAATAAGCTCAGGGATTTTTGGAGGTCTGATAAGTAAAGAAGAGCAGAAATTACAGAGTTTGTTGTAGAACAATAAGGTGTAATTTTTTTTTTTGCAACTTGTATGGTTAGTTTTAATGTACAGTTTTTGTATAAGAAGGTTGTAAACAAACTTATTTTCAGAACAATATTACATACATTTCCTCTGCCTATGTTCAGAGAAAACAGCCACAGCCAGAAAAGCAAATTAGTATCCCCAGCAAACTATAGAAACAGTGTATGAATAGAACAACCAAATTTTGCAGTCTGCAAAGGCAACATCTACAGTTTCACACATTATTAATTCTTGCAGTATTGTTGTGGTTTTTTTCGATGGAAGAAAAAGTTCTATAGAATGCCACACTTTTACCTCTATTCAGTTTATTTGCAAAGAAAAGCAACTAAGATGATTAAAGGCCTGGAGAGTAAAACATATGAAGAACTATTGCAGAATTTGAGAATGGAAGAAGAGAAAAGAAGGACTAGGGGGGACATGATAGCAGTATTCCAGTATTTGAGAGGCTGCCATAAGAGGAGGAGGTCAATTTATTTTCCAAAGCACCAGAAGGCAAGACAAAGAAATAATGGATGGAAACTAATCAAGGAGAGAAGTAACCTGGAATTAAGGAGAAACTTCCTAACAGTAAGGACAATTAACCAGTGGAACAGCTTGCCTTCAGACGTTGTGGGTTTTTAAGAAGAGACTGGTCAGCCACTTGTCTGAAATGATATAGGGTCTCCTGCTTGAGCAGGGGACTGGACTAGAAGACTTCCAATATCCCTTCCAGCTCTATTCTGTTCTGTTCTGTTCCACTCCGTTCCGTTCCGCTCTGCTCCATTCCATTTCACTCCGCTCCGCCCCGCCCCGCCCCGCCCCACCCCACCCCACCCCACCATACCATATTATATTATATTATATTATATTATATTATATTATATTATATTATATTATATTATATTATATTATATTATATTCTTCTCAACATTTGCCTGGCTGCTCATAATTCTGGGTGGCTCATAACAATGAAACCAATAACTATAAGACCCTAAAATGAAAACAAAAATCCGTCTTCTCAGTCATCCCATTGGGATGTACCACCATCAGCTTCAGACCTTCTTTCTTCCATCCCTGCACCCAGGTAAAAACTCAGGTATTGACAGCCTTCCAAAAGGCTAAAAGACTGAGGGCTTGCTGAATCATTTGGGGAAGAGTATTCCATAAGGTAGGCACAGCCACAGGAAACAGCACACTTCCAAGCTCCCACTAGAGGGCAAGACTTCAGGGAAGGGACCTGAAACATACCTACCCCATCTGATCTGGTAGGATGGGCAGATACTGTCAGGAGAAGTGATCCCACAAATATCCTGGTCCCTGCCATGTAGGGATTTAAAAGTGACAACCAGCACCTTGAATTACACCCAGAAGGAAGCTGGGGGACAGCACACCTCCTACCACAGAAGTGTAACAAGGGCAAACACAGGAACACCCAATACTGCACGTGCCACTGTTTTTGGACCAGTGCCTTCAAGGGCACTTGAAGTGATCTTCAAGGACAGCCCCATGTAAAGTGCATTGCAGTAATATAAATTTGAACAAATCCAAATTTGTCCCAAGAATTTTGTAATGAAAAAAATAAAGATGTCCTCTAACTTACAAAATGGGACTATTCCCTCTATAATTTTACTTTGGCCATGTCATGCAGGGGAATTCACTGGAGAAAGCAAAGGTATTTGGAAGAGTTAGTGGTAAAAGGAAGTCAGGTCATCAAAGAACATGTGGCTGGACACCATTAAATCTGACATTAGCCAGAGCAGACAAAAACTCAAAGAAGTTATTGCAAGATCAGAAGATATGGAGAGGGTTGGCCCATAGAATCACCAAGAGTTGGACATGACTGAATGCATCATCACCATCATCATCATATTTTTTTTTCAGTTTCTTTCTTGAAATATGTGCCAAAGGGAAAAAGAAAAGAAAAGGGAAAGGAAAGGAGAGGAGAGGGGAGGGGAGGGGAGGGGAAGGGAAGGGAGGGGAAGGGAAGGGAAGGGAAGGGAAGAGAAGAGAAGAGAAGAGAAGAGAAGAGAAGAGAAGAAACAATACCTTGCACTAGCCCAATTGTATATGTTTTCCTCTTCTGAGGACTCTTCATCATGTAATTTATCAATCATATCTTTTTTCCTTATTTCCTCCAGAGGTTGATACATATCTTTAAACCAAAGAGGCTTTTCAAATGACGATGCTGACGTCTGAGCATGAGGAAAGGATGTTTAAAATGATCATAAAGCTTCAAAGATTTTAATTTACATGTTGCATTATCATTTTATTTGTATCTCAAATTCCAATTTGTGGAATGGAGGTTCTTCCTGAAGGAATATGTGACTAGCAAATTAGAGCAAACTTAATTGTGAACTCCTAATTAGGTCACCAGTTTTAGCTCCCTCTTTATCTATGACAGGGAATCCTGGAACATATTTTGTACTTCTGCCAATTAGTGTTAGTAGCCAGTAACCTTAGTAGTTAGTAGCTATAATTAAAAAAAGTTCTCCAGTCCTAGTATTCCTAAATTTTACAAGTGGTGTTGGGCTTAATATATGTCATTTAATTTGGGTTTAGTTATGATTTATGAGCTGAATGCATGCTTTAATGTTGTTTGGGAATGAGGCTTTTATCAATTCATCTGGTTGATACAAATATACTTGCAGTATACAAAACCTCTACAAGCCATGTTTGTTAATATTGTTATATTTAATAAGTCACAACTGGTTGTAGCAAAACTTTTCTTCTGAAAAGATCCCATAGGAATAATAGACAAAATACATAAAACTGTACAACATGGTTTGTGTACTTGACTCAATACACTTCACACATTAAGTTATAAACAAGCCATATTTTCCCTTCAATTTTTTGTGAATCCAGCCATTGTGATTTATTCCAGAAATACTTTTCTGGTCATCCACAGTTTGGCACAATGTGGGAACTACAGTATGTCATAAAAATGTCTACCAAAAAGGTTCAAAATACTGCTTTTTTCTAAATACTATAGCATATATTTGGACATTTCAAGTTGTCAGTCATCTGGAAATCACAGGTATAGGACAGGCTGGGATCAAGACCATTGGCTATTACAACTGTCTTTTTCTCCCTCTACACAGAGCAGCCAGAGTGGTTCTGAATTACTTCTATATGGGCAGAAGACCAGGGTGCCTCCTATTCCTGAAGACAACGGATTGGCTTACAGGATCCAGAAGAAATGGAGACAAGTGAGGGAAACTGGCAAATTCAGGAGGAATGACTGGGAAACTGCCATCTTTATCCACACTAGTGTCAACATGGAGTGATGGCTTAGATGACTTTAAAATTCAATGGGTGACTTTAAAACAGGAACAGTTACATTTAGAGAGTACAACAGATGGCTCTAGACATCAGTTGCCAAGTAAAAGCCAACCTATGTTAAACACTGCAACCCAATCCTAAAGTATATGTACTCAGAACTAAGCCTTGTTGAGTTTAATACACTCCCAAAATGACAGGATTATTTATTTATTTATTTAAACAAATTTATGTAACTATCTGATTCACACATAAGTATTCCAGGCAGCTTGCAAAATCTGCAAAAAATCCACCATCCAGTCATACTATTATTATTTTATTATTATTATGGATCATCGCACAGTCAGCCAGATGTTCAGACTGGATTTGGCATTTTGTCTACCTATCGAGTCCTTACCCAGGACCTGGGATAGGCAGATGTGAATGTTTGATGGTATTACAGGTATCGTCGCAGGATGGAAGCAGTTCCTAGTAAGGCTGCCTTTTGCAATTGACTAATAGCGAATTTGCCAATGCCAATGGTGTTCAAGTTGTGCTCCAGTTGTTTTGGGATTGCACCCAAGGAGTCTATTACTATTGGTACTACCCTTGCTAGCTTTTGCCACAGTCTTTCTATTTCTATTTGTAGGTCTTTGTATTTTTTTATCTTCTCCAGTTATTATTATTATTGTTGTTGTTGTTGTTGTTGTTGTTAATTGCGAAGTCGTGTCCGACCCATCGCGACCCCATGGACAACGTTCCTCCAGGTCTTCCTGTCCTCTACCATCTTCATAATAATAATAATTATTATTAAATTATTATTAAATTCAGGCTTGCCTAAGCCACATCTATAATACTTGTGGGGCCATGTTGTTCAGATCCAATAACTAAGTAGCAGATCAACAATGGTCGCTTCTGCATTTACACACCTGTTTTTCAAGTGTACCCCTCTCCATTCTATCCAGAAGTGTCCTTAAACAAACAATTAAAAAGAAAAATGGTGAGATCCTAGCCTGAATAAAACCCTTTTGACAATATTCAAACAAAACGTGGCATACATTTCTGTATTGGAAGATTACACAAACTCTTATCATTTATATGAAAGATGTATACCCTGTTTCCCTAAAATAAGCCTCAGTTAAGATCATCAGCCAGACAGACGCATTTAGTACCATATTTTCTCCAAAATAAGATCTAAGTGGAAAATGAGCCCTAATGCTTCTTTTGGAGCAAAAATTAATATAAGACCCGATCTTATTTTCGGGGAAACATGGTATATATTTCTCTTTCTCAAAATGGACTCAAAAGGCCTTTTCAGTCACAAGACACTTCTGTGCACGTAGAAGCAGTGTGCAGGTAATAGAAAGCTTAATTGCCTCTTATGCTGAAACACACACTGGCAATTGTCTCCCAAGTTTTAAGAGTGCATGTTGCAGGTAACCATGTATTTCTTTGGGGATTTTTGGCTTTGTTAGCATGCACGCTTACCTTGGCAATCTCAAGTTTAGCATTAGTTCAGCACTAAAAATAGTTTAAAGTTGCCAAGAGGAGAGGGGGACATATAAGACCAGTTGGGGAATGTAGCAGGAAGCCAATGCTATACATACAAATTCAGCCAGCAAAAACACAGATTATTCAGCCATATTCTCAGTGTTTTCATAAAGAGGATTTTTCAGAGTAGAGAGTTGCAAATAACTAAGTATCTCCAGGCAAAAGTTACCATTTATCCAGAGGAGTCCCTTCCATTCCTTTGGCAGTTTGATGGGAATGGCTCTGTTTAATCCAAAAAGACAGATGTGGTTATGAGGGATAAATGTAAAAATTTTTCACAGTGAGGAAAAAGAATCAATGACTGGCACAGAGAGCAATGTTTTTTTCTTTGTTTCTTAATGAGAAACTCTTCCTTTTCTCCATCTTCTAGAGATGGTTTTGATAAAGCTTATAAAAAGGTCTTATGGACCTTTTTGATAAAGCTTATAAAAAGGTCTTATGGACCAAATCAAGCCTACCAGCCAGATGTTCCCTATCAGAACTGGAGGTGGAAAGAATCCCACTCAATACACCCATTTGGTTATCTCTATTTGACCCCCCTCACCAATAATTTTTCAAAAATCAATGCCACCCTTTTTTGTGATGTTGCTATATCATTGCCACATCTGCTGTGGCTCTTTGAGGCTGAATATATAATATTAAATCCTGGCTGCAGTAATGTGGTTTCCCTGAGTCAGTGTTTAAGGAAATGTTAGCTCTGGGGGACATCCAGTTAGGCATCGCGGTGTGACTGGCACAGGAAGATGGGGTTCCATCTTCCACATTCAATTTCGCCCTGCTGGGGACCCTAAAAGAGTCAAAAGTCACCCTGGAGAGGTGATGAAGAAGAAGAGGAGCCTCGTCAATTGTGGAGGGACAGCCCTTCTGCTGGATCTGAGGAAGTCCTCCAAACCGGTAGGGGAAAGACTGGCTATATTTTTATGGCCAGTCAGAAGCTCCTGACAACCGAAGATAAGCACTAACTAGCAATTTTTGAGCAATGTGGATGGAACTGGGTGAGATTTTATCCTCTTTTTATGACCTTAATACTACTTTCCTGGAAAAAAGAATGCCCAAAGCAAGAATCCTCCCTGATGAGAGAGGGAAGAGAAGTTTTTGCCCCGCTCCATCAGGAAAAGAAAAGTGGCAAATTAATTGCTTTGGAGAAAAAATAGAGAAAACTACAATTTCGGTTTGGAATTAATACAGATATAAAGCTTTGAAATTTGGGGACTAAATACCTTTGAGACTTTTTTTTAGAAAAGATATTTAAAAGTCTGCAAAATAGGCTTGGATTTGGAAACCTGGAAAGTGGTGTCAATGACATCTAGTGCCAAATCATGGCATTACAATTTATTATGCTTAAAGGAAACTTGGCTTGAAGACCAGACTTAGATAAGACTCTGTTGTTCCTGAAAACTTTCACTTTTGCAGACTGCATCTGGGAAAAGGAAAAAAAAACCTCTTGGGCTGTTTATCTGTGTTGGACTATAAAGACTACATACAAAAATAAAATGGGTGTTTCATACTTGGCCTCAAATGATAAAAAAAACATCTTTAACGCTTGTCTCCGAAGCCCCCAGCTTGATATACCAACAAGAAAATGTTAATGAATCTCAGAAAGAAATTCTTTCTATTTGAAATCAATCCAACAGACAATTGTTTCATTTCATGATGAGACTAAAAATAATGAAAATGAGATAAAAGAACAATTTTCTAAACTAAACTTACAAATCCAACAATGACTATAAAGAAGGAACTAGTAACTCAGAAAACAGAAGGAAAATTAGAAGAAACAAGATCTAAAGATGGAGGACCTGAAGGAAGGAATTAATAGACAAATACAGACAAATGAAAAATTAGAAGATGCAGTGATAAAACCGGTAATGGAAAAGATATCTTACTTGTCAAGATCTCAGAACACATTTGAGGATAAGGAAGAAGAGCTGATCGAATAGATGATAAAGCTGTTAGGAGAAATGCTAAATATTGACAAACAAGAAAGGAAAAGAAAAACTGAAGGAGAAGGATGGAGGCTGTTTAATGAATATAAATGGGTTGAGCATTCTTCCAAAAATATTTCAATCAAATTTTCTTCCTCGTTCCAAACAATATATACAATTTATAACTAGAATATTATATTTTGTTATGAGATGGGAAATATGAAAATTCTAAAAGGGTTGAATAAGGGAAGATTTTGGTTACCCAAATATAATTTATTATGAGAAAATTATAAGCAATATATTTTGAACGTAGATGGGAACTTTTTTAAAAAAAAAAGTGGGGAAAAACAGGATATTGATTGACCAAATGGATTTTAAGTGCAAATGCAATTGAGATATGTTCTGGCTAGAAAAGATATTATAAACTGACACTATGTATAATACCAAAGTAGGGGCAAACCCCAGGCATTCCTCTGAGCGTGTGCTCCATGACGCTCTGAAATCTACCAGGAGCAACATTCACCCCAAATTGTAACCTCTTTACCTTGAAAGCGCCTCTATAGGTCACTATTGTTTGGGCCTCCACAGTTGCTTCGTCAACAGGTAACTGTTGATAGGCCTGTGCTAAATCAAGCTTTGCAAACAGCTTTCCCCCTTTGACTCACTACCGGTACAGGATATGCGTGTTGTTGCAAAGCTGTATTCAGGGTGCATTTGTAGTTTGCGCAAATTCGGACTTCCCCGTTAGCCTTTAAAGGCATCACAAAGGGGGTGTCCCATGGACGTGAGTCCACCAGTGCCGAGATGCCTGCTGGAGCAGCTTGTCCAGCTCTGCATCAATTTTTCCCTTTAAGGAGAATGGCACCCTCCTGGGCTTGATTCTAATGGGTGTGATGGCTGGGTTTAATCGCAAGGAAATAGGAGGCCCCTTGTAGAACCCAAGCTCTGAGTTAAACACATCTGCAAACTCATTGCAGACTTCTGCAAGGCCTGTAGTTTGCAGACTATTTATGCCATTTACTTGGATTCCTAAGGCCTCAAATCACTCAAGTCCAATTAGACTTGTACACTCACCCCCAACAACCACCACATCTAATAGACCCTGGAAAGTCTTATGCTGCACTTTGAGTGTAGCTTCTCCAAGTACTTTGACCCTTGAATTTTGAAAATCCATGAAGATTAAGTTAGATGGCCTGAGTTTGACTCTAAGACCACTACTGCTGCAAATCCTTTTAAAGGTATTGTGTGAAATGATCGATGGAGCGGACTCAGTGTCCAGCTCCATCGACAAGGGAACCCCTTGTAGCTTCACATCAACGCGAAGCTTCTTCTTAAAGGCTTGTGTGTCCCTGTCAGCAAAATGTTTCTGCACGATGTGCAGAAACCCACCCTGTGTTGGCTGGGGACCCTGGAAACTTTCTGAAGGAATTCTTCCCGAGGTTGCACCTGCTGGTGATCCAAACAGACAATGGCAATGTGGCCTTGCTTACCACATGCCCGACAAATGACGGAGCGGAACTGGCAGTCTGAGTACTTGTGGCACCCTCCGCATCTGAGACACTGAAGGGCTGCCGGGGTCTTGACTGGCTTCTCTTGTGGCCTTTGTACTTCAGGCTGGTGAACTCTGTCCACCTCTTCTTCAGGATCCACGTCCTGCACTTCTTGAGCGACCTCTTGATGGATGGACGCAACTGCTGTAGTGCTTTTGGCGAGTCGCAAGGCCTTCACAGTGCCACCTGCTGCTTCTTCAGCTGCAACTTCGCGTAAGGCATCTTGGAATGTGACTTCAGCTTTAGCAAAGATTTTTTGTTGCAGCTCTCTACTTCTAAGGCCGCTGACAAAACAGTCTCGTAAGTGTTCTTCCAGGTCCTTGAACTCACAAGGCCTGGCAGCTTGTCTCAAGGCAGCAATGAATTCCGCAGCAGACTCACCAGGCTTCTGGTCCCTCTGCTCAAAACCATGCCTCCACACAATTACAGATAGCTTTAGATGAAAATGGTCCTTCAGCATATTCTTCAAGTCTGTGTACGTGACAGACTCAAGCGGCACAGGAGCTACTATATTTTCGGTCACATCAAAAGTATCCTGCCCGCAGACGCACAGCAGGGTTACTGCCTTCAAGCTGTCTTCTTGAACCTGGGTAACTCGCAGGTAGTTTTCCACCCGGGCCATGTAAGAGTTCCAGTGCTTCGGATGAGACACATCGAATTCAGACAACCAGCCGATCCTCGACATTTCTAGCTTCTCTTAGCCTCACTGCAACTCCGGCTGAGAAGAGGCCCATTTGCCAAGCCCACCTCCAGCATTTGTGTACTAGCAGGTGAGTGCAGATCTGGGTACCGACTTCCCAGCTTCCAGCTCTTTTGTAGAGGCTAGGTTCTTCGAGTTGTCTTCTTCTTTGCAGCAATCCCACCTTCATTGCCACTTTTACGTATTGGGGTTTGCAGCATTGAAGTGACACACGAGTTGTTAACCAAGTTCTTTCTTTATTTGTTTCACTGTACCACTCTGCAAATAACAGGCATGCAGGCCTTTTATAGTCTCCCAAAACATCCTATCACAACCCCCCCTTTTCGCGCCTTGCGCATACGTGCAAGGCCAGCACCAACCAGTCTCGTCCCGGGCTGCTTTTAGGTTGCCTGGGACCATTTGCAACATTTCTGGGCCTGCTGAATTGCCTCAGCAGGCCCAGGAGACAACATCTACTGTATATTATTGTCCAAGTTTCTTTTTCACCTACTGTTTAGGAAACCTTTGCCAAATGTAGTACTAAAAAAATTCTTTAGATATTTATTACAATATCCATTTTGTCCCTTTAAAATAGTGTGTCAAATTTCAAAAGCATTAATTAAGTTGATAAATCAGTCAGAGACAATTATTCTTCATCATTGTCATCATAGTCATCATCGTCATCGTCATTTTCATCATCTTCATCAAATGCAGGAAACATTTAACTCTACCATTGTTCTGTAAATCCATTTTCTTTAAACACCAGTTATCAATTTTACACAAGAAATATTTCAGATTCTTGCAGTTCTTCCAATCCATAAAAAACCTCCCTTCTCCGGGGGGGGGGGGGGAGGAAAGTATATTTGGGTCCACTTACCTTTTAAAAGCAACAACAGTTCTACCAATCTAGTTTTTTAAAAACCATATATTTATATCTGAAATCTCTGATTTAATTCTGATGAATCTCGTTCTGTTTTTCTTTGTTTACCTTTATGCTATATGCCACTCTCCCCAGATGCTGATGAGCATTTGTAAGAACTTTACATATATACACATGTCACTTTTGCTGGAGTACAGACATGGGAATTATAAGATAAATGGTGTTTGCACATTACTATAGGCAATCTAAAAGGGCTTTTACTCTAAAAGAGTAACTGCTTTTACAGAAATGAATGTGCAAATAATTTACACCAATTTGGTCTCCTGGAAAAAAGAGAGAGATACATGTAGGTAATCAAATCTTGGTAAAGCTCCTAAGAGTGTGTTTCTTATGACTACTTATCTAGGTCACTTTTACCTCATCAGAAGGCTTCTCCATTTTTCTGGAGCTTGCTGTAGGTATATGGTTTACTTTTTTAGCTGGCAACAAGTAGAACTTCCGCAGAGCAGATAACCTCTCAATTTCTGCAGATTTAATGATTTCTCTCATGGTATGATCCACTGTAGCGATAAATTCAGGACAAATCTGGATAGGGAGTTTGTTGCAGCGTGTTTTGATGAAACGCATAAACTGGGCAATTATGTTCTTGGAAACCTCATCTGGAAAGATAGTTGCCAACTTTTTTTGCCACTCAGATTCAAAGTCATAATGCCGAAGAAGAAAATTATTAGTGGTTGACAAAAAATCAAACGAAGGGGGAACAGAGGTGGTTTGTTCATGATGCTCCCAATGTGTCTCATTAAACAATATTATATCAGGTAAGAGTTCATCAGTAGGAATTTGGGAGTTGCTTCCTCCAGTTAT